GCCGCTGCTCCACGCCGGGCCTATGTTAAACTGTAATAAAGGCTGGGCTGGGAGGCTGTGGGAGAGGGAGCGCGGGAGGGGGCGGCAGGGCGGAGAGGAGGACCCCAGACCTCAGGGCCATTGCGGCTTCCACCGACTCGGGGTTGGAGATCAGTCAGCTCCTTCCTGCCTCGCGTGAGGTGGAAATGTCCAGAAAGGTGACCGTCTGAATTCACGGCTTCTCCCTCTGGCCAGAGACGGGTGGAGGGAGATCAGAACAGAGTCTCCGTCACCCAGGAACTTACTGGAGCCAAGTTGCCTCTCATGGGCCTGGGGGTCTCTTGGCAGCCTCATGGCCCTGGGGTTCCACCGAGCATCTGTGAAATGGGGCTGCTGCCACCTGTTTCAGCCCCCGAGGTGGCTGTGTGGGGCTCTGCTGGGCCAGCAACGGAGCCTGCAGGCCGTGGGGTGCCACACACAGGCGGCAGAGTTCAGAAAGGACCCTGATGACCTGGGTGCTGCCAAGCTCTGCTCATTGAGAGGCCTTTACGGAGCACCTGCTGGATGCCTGGCAGAGACCCTGCGTACTCACGGCTCTCCCAGCCCAGTGATGCCGGCAGGTGCACAGTCAGGCGAGGTCAGTGTCTCTTGTGAGCCTTGAGAGCCCCAAGGCGGGGCGTGGAACCCTCCGGGCGGGCCCAGGACGCTGTGCTGGGGGACGCTGCCCACGCTCTGGGTTGTCTGGGACGAGCAGGGGTGAGCAAGGGTGTGGGGGGCGGGGAAGCAGGAGGGAACTCCAAGCAGAGGACACAGTGTTCATGGGTGTGGACGGCGGGAGACAGCTGCAGGACAGGGAACCGCATGGAATCGTGAGCTGTGTGGACACGGAGCAGGGCCCGTGGTGCTGGGGTTTCTCAGTGTAGCCGCAGCCACCTGGCCCTCCCCGGCCGTCAGCCTTGGCTCTGAGAGGAGGCTTGCCGGAGCCCGAGGCTGGGGATGAGACAGTGAGAGCTGTCCTGCCACTCGCCAGCCACCACCCTCAGCCTGGCCGGCACCTGCTCTGGGCAGGATTTGCTCTTGCCCTCCCTCTGACCCCCAACTGTGACAGACCCAGTGTCCTGTCACCCCGTTGGACTGGGACACCTCCTCCACCAGACGGGGAGCTTCCTAAACCAGAGAGGCTGCCTGTCCATCATGAGATTGGCAGGGTCCCACGGGAGGGACTGGGTGTCCTCTGTGCTCAGGGAACCTCCCTGCCCGCTAAGTGGAGACAGGATGCAGAAAGCCGGAGAGAGGGGCCCTCTCAGGACCACCCCCCCTCCCGTCTGGGGACCATTTTCAGCTCTACCCCGGCTCTGCCCCACCCCCTTGGGGCTGTCCCGTCACACAGTGGGACAGAAGCCAGGGCCGTCCCGGGACTGCTCCTCGCTGCCCACCTCGAATCTGGCCTCTGCTTAATGTCTGTTCCCATGGCTGCGCCTCCCCATGCTCTCCACCCAAAGAACCAAACAACTGGCCATACACGTGCGGTGCGTGGGGGAGCCAGCCGGCCGGCAGGGTCTCCCGCAACCAGTTCCAGCCACTGCTGCTGATGAGTTTGTCCCTGAGGCTCAGGGAATCCCCGGGGTGGGGAGCGGAAAAGAAGCCCCCAGGGCTGGGGTGCAGGAGGCTGGCAGGAAGACACGGTGGTGGTGCCCTGGTGGCCCTTCTCGTGGTGCTGCAGCCGGTCCCCCGGCCCCTCCCTTTCTGCAGTCACCACTGCCTTGTCCGTGGCCACCCAGTGAGGGAAAGACGGAGCCAGAACCCGGATCTCAGGTCCCCTCAGACCAGAGCTGCTAGCGAGACCAGGGCTGTCCCAGAGGGCCCTCACACCCCCTCCCGATCTGTCCCTGCCTCCTCGTTGCTCTCCAGCGAGGGAGCACGGGCTTTCTGGCGGTGTGGCTCCGACAGGTGGCTCAGCCTCTCTGCGTCTCGTTTTCCTTATTCAGAGGCTTGTCACGAGGCTACTACAGAAAAGACTCCTGGAACGGGGCGGAGGGGGGGGCTCTTCTCCTGGGCTGCTGGCTCTTTTGTCTTTTTTTTTAATTATTATTTTTTTTTTGACAGGCAGAGTGGATAGTGAGAGAGAGAGACAGAGAGAAAGGCCTTCCTTTGCAGTTGGTTCACCCCCCCCCAATGGCTGCCGCGGCCGGTGCGCTGTGGCCGGCGCACCGCGCTGATCCGATGGCAGGAGCCAGGTGCTTTTCCTGGTCTCCCATGGGGTGCAGGGTCCAAGCACTTGGGCCATCCTCCACTGCACTCCCTGGCCACAGCAGAGAGCTGGCCTGGAAGAGGGGCAACCGGGACAGAATCCGGCGCCCCGACAGGGACTAGAACCCGGTGTGCCGGCGCCGCAAGGCGGAGGATTAGCCTAGTGAGCCACGGCACTGGCCTCTTTTGTCTTTTAAGATTTATTTATGCATTTGAGAGGCAGAGGTACAGAGAGAGCGAGAGCGAGAGTAGCAGCTCTGTCTGCTGGCTCACTCCCCAGGTGCCCGCAGCAGCTGGGGCTGAGCAGTGGTAGGAGTCAGGACCTCCATCGGGGTCTTGAGTGTGAGTGGCTGGGCCCCGAGGACCTGAGCTGTCGTCAGCTGCCTCCCAGGTTCGTTGGCAGGAAGCTGGATCAGAAGCGGAGTAGCAAGACTGAAACCAGACTCCAGTATAGGACGCGAGCGTCTCACACTGTGCCTCAGCTCACTGCACCACCACGCCCACCCCGGGGGCTGCAGTCACCTGCAGAACGCAGCCCTGTTCTCTTGAGATCTTTCTGGAACCCCGTGGGCAGCATCCACAGGGTCGTTACGGCAACCCCAGGTCTGAGAGGCCCTCTCCAGATCCTTCGTGCGACACACACCTGAGGGTCCTGCCTCGCCCGCCTCAGTCTGGGCTTCCGGCTGGCGTGGCTGCATCCATGGAGCTCACCAGATCCCCGCTGAGTGAGGGAGGGGAGGGACAGGGACCCTGGGCTCAATGGGACCCGGAGCTCAGGATGCATGCATCCAGAAAGCACAGTCGCGGGGGGACCAGAGGCGACAAGGCGGGGCCTTGGCACCACCACCCTGAATTTTGTTTTTGGGTCAACAGAAAGCAAATGTTGGTCCCTCGCTCACTGCGCTCAGCGTTTTGGTCCCAGCCCGAGAGCCCATCCTAGGTTTGCCTTTATATTTCACATGGGACAAAAGCAGCTTTAAAAGCCTAATTCAAGGCAACGGGCGCTTGGATGTGGAACGTGAGGGTCACGTCCAGAGATACCTGTGGGTGGGAATCAGAAAACAGTAGCATGAAAGCAGCGTCGGTGGGTGTTGGCTGGAGGCTGTGGGTACTGGAACCCCTGAGCGTGAGCCTGACCCCTTTGGCTAAGGAGGGAGAGCGGCTGTGTTGAATGCTGGCCAGGACTGTGCCCTCCCAGCCCCGTGTGGCATGCACGTTTTTAAAATAAAATTTTTATTTTACTTTATAAAAAATACACATGGGTTTATTTGAAAGGCAGGCTGGGAGAGAGGGAGACAGAGAGAGATAATGGATGGATGGATGGATGGATGGATGATGGATAGATAGATAGATAGGTAGGTAGATAGATGATAGATACATACACACATAGATGGATGGAGATTTTCCATCTGCTGCTTCACTCCCCAAATGGCCACAAGAGCTAGGGCTGGGCCAGGCAGAGCCCGGTGGCAGGAATTCTGTTCTGGCCTCCCAAGTGGGTGGCGGGGAGCAAGCACTTGGCCGTCTTTGGCTGCTTCCCAGGGGCATTAGCAGGAACCTGGGTCAGAAGCAGCGCAGCCAGCTCTCCTCTGTGGGCTGCCAGGGTCGCGGGCTGCAGCTTAACCCCCAGTAGGACAGTGCCAACCCTGCGGCTGCGCACACTGGAATTTAAATGAAGTAAAATGGAAAGTTCAGTTCGTCGGTTGCAGGGGGTGATCGTAAGTGCTTGGCGCAGGTGACCAGCGCCACCTGTGTTGAATGGCCTGGCAGCTCTGCTGGACAGCGCTGGGCTGGAACTAAATGGAGGACTCAAGGCATGGGGCCCCCACGACAGAGCTGCGCCTCCTCCATCAGACTGGGGCTCCCCTACCACTCCGGCCTCAAGGCTCTGAGGACAGCCTCCACCTGTGGATTCTGCCCCCACTGCACTCAGCTCCTATCTGAGTTCCAAGGCCCCCGCTGGAGGCACCCAGCCCGGTGCCTGTCCCCTTCTGCTGGGCTGGCCTCCCTGCCTGCCTGCCAAGGCCTGCTTGCTCCTCCTAAAAGCCCCAAGAGCTCACTCTCCCTGTCCCCATCAGAAAACCGGGGCTGCTAGTCTTTCAGGAACTGGACCCTTGGGATGAGTTGGGCTTGGCTCAGAGCCCCAGATGTGCCGGGCACGGGCCCGGAGTGCCCGGTGTGCCCACTGCAGCCTCCTCTTGGAGATGCGGTCGGGGGAGGCCGGGCACCTGGCAGCCCTGGCTGGGAGAGAGCAGAGGAAGGAGGCAGGTCTGACTCGGGGTCCTTGCCCTCGGGATGAGAAGGGCAGCCGAGAGGGGACGGCTCCCTTGCCGACGGTTCCCTGGTGATGTGGCGCACAGGACATACCATAAAATGCTACTTTGGAGAATGTGGTTCTATGAATTCTGACAACATAACATAAATAAACATTCCCCCATGAAACCATCCTCTCCCTCCCCAGCCCTACCTGTGACAGAGGCATGCTTTCATGCCAGTGGAAATAACCTAAATGCCCAACCACAGGGGATTTTTAAAAAATCGGAAAGGCTGCGCCAGGAAGTATTGGATCAGCCCCTGGGCTGGACCTGGAGGTTGCTGCCTGTCCGCCAGGCTGATAAACAACGCCGCGGTGAACATCCTTCCGCCTCGGCTCAGGAGGGACCAGGTCCTCGGTCCCGAGGCACAAGCATGCCGCCGGGCTTTCCCCCGCCCTGGACCCCACCTCACCGGGCCCCCCTCCCGGGCCTCTCCCTCCCTGTCCCTGGCTGTAGGGAACCGGCTGGACGAGGGCTCAGACGTGGAGTCGGAACCCGACCTCCCACTGAAGCGCAAGCAGCGCCGGAGCCGGACCACGTTCACGGCCGAGCAGCTGGAGGAGCTGGAGAAGGCCTTCGAGCGGACGCACTACCCCGACATCTACACCCGCGAGGAGCTGGCGCAGAGGACCAAGCTGACTGAGGCGCGCGTCCAGGTGAGGGGCAGCGCGGGGGGTGCACACTGCAGGTGTGTTGCCGAGGCGCTCAGTGCGTGCTCCCTGGGCGACGCTTGCAGCAGGTGCTCCGGGGACCACATGGGCAGTACCACCAGTGCACGTGTTTGCTGGATACAGCCCGGGGGAGGGGGAGGGAGGGCAGAGGGAGGAAGCGAGGGCGTCCGTCCCATCAGAAGAGGAAGTGTATGGTCCTCCAAGTGCCTGATGGGAAACGGGAGACATCCTGACTGCCTGGGCGTCCTCGGGTGGCTGACGAGGCTCCCGTTAGGAGCCTTAGGGAGGTGCGCGAGCAGACGGGGCAGGTGCATCCTGGTAGGTCTGAAGCGTCAGGGAAGAGTGGGCAGACTGGAGACCTGGACGTCCCCTCTGCCCTCACTGCGTGTGGCTCCTCATCAGAGGGGCTGAGGAAAGGGAGTGGAGCCTGCTGGGGGGCAGGGATCACCCCTCATCCCCACCCCCACCCTGGGCCTCACTCCCATCCCCGCTGGCTGAGCCCTCAGATTCCTGGAGATGCTCTGGCTACAGAGCCTGTGCAGGGAGGCGGGGGAGGAGCCAAGGCAGAAGCCCCTGATGTGTGGCTCTCCTGGGAGCCCGGTCCCGGCCAGTCCTCTCCCTCGATGGGGGCGTTGGGCCTGAGAGGCTCCGCCCCTGGCTGCTTCTGGGTGGGGGGTGCTCCCCTCCCAGGGGAATGGGCTTCCTGGGCTCCTCCTTGGTGCCAGCTGTGCTCAGGGCTTCCCACAGTGGCCAGGTGCAGAAACTGAGGCTGGGAGCACGGCCTCCCGGGGCCCAGGGCTGGACGGTGGCTCCGTCTGTGCCCGGAAGGATAGGGTTGGCTCAGAACCCGGCACAAGCAAGCAAGCGGGGAAGCGCTGGAAACAGACTGGCGCTGAGCCCTCCAGGAACCGGTGCTCGCCCCTGCCCTCCCCTCCCCCACCCCCAGACCAGACCGTGGCCGCCTTTGAGGGAGACACCGAGGGCGGGGGCCCAGCTGCAGCAGGCAGCGTCGCCCCCCTCCCTGCCTCTGGAGGGTGACATCTGAGCCCGCCCGCACCCCCAGCCTCCCTTCCCCTCCTCCGGTCCCCTTGCAGCTGTTCCGGGCACATTCCTGGGCGCTTTCTCACTCCCACGTCTGGCGGCTACGGCTGCCTTCCCACCACCTTGAGGCCTGGCTGCTCCTTGTAAAATGTCCTGGCTGTCAGGCCGGGGCTTTTATTGGCCCACAGGGGCAGAAGCAGGTGTCACTCAAGGTCCAGGGAGGGAGGGGCTCTGGGAATGGAAGAACAGGCAGGTTGAGGGCCGAGGCTGACCCCCCGCCCCGCGGAGACCCCCTTCCATCATAGCGGGGCTTCCCCAGGGCACGCCCCGGCTCTGCCCTTGGGCCACGTGCTCCCCAGGGCAGCACAGGGGCTCCTGCCTAAGCCTGAGAGCTTTCTCAGCAGCGAAGCAAACAGAAAACGTAGAGTTTTCCAGAAGGAACAAGGGCCGGCCAAGAGCAAAGTCAGGACATTCAGCCTGGAGAAGGGAGAGCTGGGGCCTGTTTTGGGGTGCGCCGGGGGGAGAGGGGAACGCGTGCCGCCCAGCAGCACCCGTGGGTTCCTATGATGTCACCGTCTTCCTTCTTCTGACCCACCGGTGCAGAAGTGACCGCCAAGAGCCCTTAAGGGTTCTAGGGTCCGTCCTTAGTGACCGTCAGGGATGCCTGGGAGGTGGTGAGATCCCCGTCACTAAAGTGTTCAAGCCAAAATGGGGTTTACCTGGACCAGGGATGCTGGGGAGAGGGGTCCTGTGCAAACGACGGGGCAGGGTCCTCACAGCCCGGGGCACCGCTGAGCTTCGCGGCTCTGTACGGCCCGGGTCTTGGTCTTTGACTCTGGGACCCGTGCGTCCCGGTGGCCCTGGGAGGTGAAGGGGTGAGGGGAGTGGTTCAGAGCAGACCAGCTTCCTCGCTGGCCTGCCTCAGTCCCTCCATCCGCAGAACGGACAGGCCCGTAGCAGTGTGTCCCTTGCTCTGAGCAGTGGTTCAGTGCAGGCGCACAGGCGCCAAGTTCGGAGGCTCTGGCGCACAGAGGCGCCGTCCCCAGGGGCTGTTCCTGCAGAGTCCCAGCCTGCTCCCCGCGGCTCCTGTGCTGGCCGCCCTCGCGCCCCGGCGCTCGTTCGTGGGGTCCTCACTGTGTGCCTGATGCTTTCGGGGCCACTGGGCGCCTGCCACCATGAGCAGGTGTTCCACCAGAAACTAAGCTTGTAGACGTGAGGCCCGGCGAGGGTGGGGCTCCGGAGCCAGCCTGATCGCCTCCTCCTGCTTCCCTCCAGCTCGGGGGCTTGCTGGGGCCTGGAACCCCCTCCCAGGCACAGGAGGGGCCGGGAAGGGGCGCTGGGCAGGAGACCCACGCCTGTTTTTTTTTTTTTTTTTTTTTTTTTTTTTTAACAGGCAGAGTGGACAGTGAGAGAGAGAGAGAGAAAGGTCTTCCTTTGACGTTGGTTCACCCTCCAATGGCCGCCGCAGCCGGCGCACTGCGCTGATCTGATGGCAGGAGCCAGGTGCTTCTCCTGGTCTCCCGTGGGGTGCAGGGCCCAAGCACTTGGGCCATCCTCCACTGCACTCCCTGGCCACGGCAGAGAGCTGGCCTGGAAGAGGGGCAACCAGGACAGAATCTGGCGCCCTGACCGGGACTAGAACCCGGGTGCCGGCACCGCTAGGCGGAGGATTAGCCTAGTGAGCATGCGCGGCCGGGATGTCGTTTTAACTGCGGTGGCCCACCCAGCTTGTGTACATCTCTGGGAGGACGACGCTTGCTGTGAGCGCACGTCCTGGCCTGTTGAGTTTCTCCTAGAAACGGGCTGTAGGCTGAGAGGCCCGGGTCAGCCCGTGGAGTCTCGCGCCCAGGAGTTGGGCAGCGGGCCACAGCTCTGGATGCCGAGCCGGCTGGGACTCCCTCGCCCGTGCTTTCTCTGAGCAGAGATCCCATTTGGGAGGCACGGAGGAGCTGGCTCATGGGAGTCCTAGGCCACCCACCCCCCGGCAGCCTAGTTGGCGGTGCGGCAGTGTGTGCCGGACACAGCACCCGCCACTCGGCGCTGTTCTCCATAGCTGTTCCGGGGTCTGGTCCTCCCTGCTTTTGCAGATGAGGAACTGAGAGGTGGCGAGGGGAAGTGACTTCCTGGGGACGCGGTCAGACCTGGCTGTGCTGGGGCTCAGGCCCACGGCTCTGCCCCCTCCATGCCGCCCCAGGAGAAACCTCCAGCTCCAGCAACAGGCAGCGTCTACGCGGCCCTGCTCCCCAAAAATCACAAACGAAAAATAAAACCTGGCCCTTGCTTTCAAAGAGCTCCACCCCAACCAGGGATTCTGGCCGGGGCCCTGGGGCCCATGTCGCCTCTCCTGGGGCCTCTACTTCCCCATCTGTTAAATGGGCTGCTTGCAGGAGACGCTGGCAGCAGGGTTTTCCTGTCTCGGGGTAGGAGCAGTCAAGAGGCCGGATTCAAGCCCAGGAGTTTGCTGCCGAGTCCCTGCTCCCAACTGTTGTGTTGCCCGTGGGGGGTGGGGTGGGGGGCTGGGGACATAGGATGTGGAGGGAAGAAGAGATGTATCTGCAGCAAAGGGTGTGCCCTCCTCCAGGAAGTCCTCCTGGATGCCGAGAGGTGCCCTTGGAAGCCCCTCCTTCAGTCTGCTCCTAGTAGCTTGCACGGCAGTCTGAGCTCACTGGACCTCTGCAGCAGCTGTGAGCCCTGTGTCCAGGCAGCGGGCAGCTTGATGCTGGACTGAGACATAGCCATAGCTCACCCCCCTCAGTGTCTTTCTCAGCCCTGAATCCCAGCCGGGGTCTGAGATGAGAAGGGAGGGAGTGAAGAAGGAAGAGAGGGCAGGGAAGGCAAGGGGGGCGGCGGGGGGGGGGTGAGCAGGCGGAAGGCCCGCCTCTGTGAGGGAGGGGCCACGGAGAGGACACCACCCCCACCTAGAGCAGCACCGCCCACGCCTGCGTCACTGCAGCCAGCGCCAGCGCGTACGCCGCAACTGCCTGCTGCTTGTTGAAGAGATTCGCTTATTTGAACGAGTTAGAGAGAGAGAGAGAGAGGTCTTCCATCTGCTGGTTCACTCCCCAGATGGCCACAATGGCTGGAGCTGAGCTGGTCTAAACCAGGATCCAGGAGCTTCTTCTAGGTCTCCTACTTGGATGCAGGGGCCCAGGGACTTGGGCCATCTTCCACTGCTTTCCCAGGCCACAGCAGAGAGCTGGATCGGAGTGGAGCAGCCGGGACTAGAACTGGCGCTGTGGGACGCCCGCTACGCCGTAGCGTCGGCCCCTCACTACTTACCTTTAAGAGTCAGTGTAGTCTAAAAGAGAAGTGTAAGAGGGCGCTTCAGGAAGTTCGTGGAGAAGCAGACTTGAACGGTTAACTTTATTGTGGAGCAAACACGCGAAGTCCAGGCGCAGCTTTTTCCTGGTCGCGTCTTCTCCCGTGAGCCTTTGGGCTCCTGCACTTGCAAGCCCCGCCCCCAGGGGAAGGCGGTTGCAGGCTGGCGGGAAGACGGTGCCGAGTGCACAGGGGGTCCGCAGGTGTGAGAAGGTCTGAGCCTGCAGGAGTGGCGCACAGAGCCCTGCTGTGCTGAGCCCAGCGGGCCTGGAAGGCAGGCGGAGTCACCTGGGTTCGGGGTGACTTCCTGTCCCTGTTGCTCACCACCTGGGATGTGGCTCGGATGCCCTTTGGAAAGCACTGACTTAACCCCGAGGCGGGCGCAGCCCCTCCCCAGGTGGCCAGGAGCCGGCTCGGGCTCGGGCATTCGGGCTGGGCAGCCGGGCTCGGGCAGCCTGCCCCTGGCGGGGTCCGTCCCTGCTGCAGGACTTGGATTTGATGAGGGGAGCTGCCTGTCCCTCCAGGTGTGGCCGCCTCCACCCCTGCTCTGTGAATGCAGCGGTCAGGGCCGCGGCTCTGTCCACTCAGCTTTCCCCATCTCCAGGAAGGGCCCAGGCGAGGTGCGTGACATCAGGGCCTCCACTCAGCTGAGACTGCTCCCCCATCTTGGTGTGGGGTCCGCCCAGGAAGGCACTCCAGCCGACCCCAGCCCCAGCAGACACACCAGAGCCATCTCTGCCTTCCCTCGTTCACTCATTCACTCATTCACCGAACACCCAGGGAGGGCCAGGCAGGGAGTGCGGGGTGCGCAGCCTCTGCCCGTGGGGACTCAGGGGGGTGGGTTGTTCCTACTGCTGCTGCTTAAACCCTTGCGTGCGTGGTTCCCGCTTCAAGGGGCTCGCGCCGTGTGAGCAGAGTCAGGCCCTGGGCTCCACACAGACCCCGCGTCTCATTCCAGAGTTCCGGGTGTGCAGCTCCCTCCGGGGCGCTTCCTGCGGGAGGCGGGGCACGAAGCTTTGAGGCACGTGGGGTCAGGCGGGCATCGGCGCCTCTGCAGTGGGCAGAGCTCTGGACCGAGCCAGGGATTTGCTCTGTCCGTAGCCAAACCCCTGCTTCCTCTGGGCCTCAGTTTCCCCACCTGTAATGATAAGAAGCCCTCACTGTGTGGCCACAAGGGCAGAGGGGTGGCGTTCACGGAAGCATTGTGAAGCTTCATCCGGGCTGCACCAGGCTGGGTTTGCCTACCCCGCAGGAAGGATGCTGGCTGGGAGGAAGGCCGTCGGCCCGGGGCACTCGTCCCCCTGTGTCCTCAGCCAGGCTGAGGGTCCTGTCCTCTCACTTTGAATCCCCCAGGTCTGGTTCAGTAACCGCCGCGCCCGCTGGCGTAAGCAGGCAGGAGCCAACCAGCTGGCCGCCTTCAACCACCTTCTGCCAGGAGGCTTCCCCGCCAGCGGCATGCCCACGCTGCCGCCCTACCAGCTGCCGGACTCTGCCTACCCCACCTCCACCATCTCCCAGGGTGAGTGCCGCCCGCCCCGCCCTGCCCGGGCCTGCCTCTCGTGGGAGCCCTGCCCTTGAAGGTCATGGCTCTGCCACGGAGCCTCCCAGGGGCCAGCAAGGCGGCCTCCGAGCGCCTGTGTGCACCGGGCTGTACCCGCTGCTGAGCGCCCAGGATCTCCGGGGAATCGGGGGTCGTACTGAAATGCTGTTCTGGGGGTGGGGGAGGGGAGCGCGGTTCTGCCAAGTTCGTTGGTGCTGCCCAAGCTGCTGGCCCGCGGGCAGTGCTCTGAGCAGTGCGGAGTCGAGCAGCCGGCCCGAGGTGGCGAGCAGACCAGAGGCAGAGGGAATGTTCTCCAAGGACGGCGGGACTGTGTGTGGCCACAGCCTTTGATCGAAGCATATACTTTTATTTATTTGGAAGGCAGAGACAGAGACACACGGAGCTCCTCCATCTGCTGGTTCACTCCCCAAATGATGCGCTAGTCAGGGCTGGGCCAGGCTGAAGCCAGGAGCCAGGAGCTCCATCCGGGTCTCCCACGTGGGCGGCAGGGGTCCAAGTCCTTGAGCCATCTTCCACTGCTTTCCCGGGTGCATTAGCAGGGAGCTGGACCGGAAGTGGAGCAGCCGGGACTTGGTCTGGTTCCCACCCAAATGGGATGCTGGTGTTGGCAGCATTGGCTTAGCTCACTGAGCCGCAGCAATGGCTGGGACGTGTTTTTAAGTGAGAGGGACGGTGGTGTGTGTGTGCGCGCGTGCTGGGAGGATATCGGGATAGTTACTTTAGATTGGCCTCTAATCTGTGCTCCGTAGGAATTCACAAAGAGGCTTCACTAATATCTGGAGTCTCATTTTTTGCCCTTCCCTCCCCTTCTGGAAAGATCCATCTCCCAAGACAGAATAAAGGTCAGGGTCCTCGGAGGACCTGCAGAGGCTTCCTCAGAGACCCCCGACCCAGGGCCGCGGGGTCCCACTTCTCCTTCCTCTTCTGGGCGGGGCTAGCCTGGGCTAGCCTGGGCTGGGCTTGTTGAAGTACCAATGCCAGGCTGGCCTTGGAAGAGGGTGGGCTTCCTTGGGAGGAAGGCGGCTGGGTGGGGAGGGGCCTGGGGATGGCGAGCCCCAGTAGGGCTCCCTCCCGCCCTGGACCCTGCCCTGTCCGCCCTCCCCATGCCCAGCGCACGGCAGGAACATCACTGCGGGGTGCCTGGCCCTCATTGGTGCCTCCCTGCAGGGTTGGCTGGAGTCTGGGAGGCCGAGAGAGAGTGGCTGAGAAGAGGGGCCCTGTGGGAGAACAGCCGCCAAGAGCAGGAACGGCCCCACCTCTTGTTGGTCTTGGCAACTTGTGCAAGTGTACCTACCCCACCCAGCCTCCGTTTTTCTTTCTTAATCTGTAAAATGGGACTCATGTTCTTGCTTCATGCCTTCGGGGTATATTTGTAAAAGCCCCTGGAAGGTGGTTGATGCCCACAATGCTGGCAGCACGGGCCTAGGTAGATGAGCAGAGTGTGGCTTCTGGGTGAGCACCTACTGTGTGCCAAACACCGAGTGTGCAGTCGCCCAGAGGGTTTGCTGCTCAGCTGCCACCGTGGACCTGGCCAGGCCCCACTGCTCTGCCTGGGAGCCAGCTTGTCCCTGCCCAGGTAGCTGGGACCATGGCTCCTTCTGGCTCCCCACCAGCCCCTCTCAGAGGCCCAGCCCCGAGGCGGGGCCGCGCATGCTCAGGACCTCTCTTGGGTCTCTCCACAGACGGGGGCAGCACGGTGCACCGGCCCCAGCCTCTGCCGCCGTCCACCATGCACCAGGGGGGGCTGGCTGCAGCTGCTGCAGCCGCCGACAGCAGCTCTGCCTACGGAGCCCGCCACAGCTTCTCCAGCTACTCCGACAGCTTCATGAACCCGGCGGCGCCCTCCAACCACATGAACCCCGTCAGCAACGGCCTGTCTCCCCAGGTAGGTGGCCTCCCCTCCGCCCTGGGTCCCGCCACCACGCGCCGCTGCCAGCTCGGCCAGCAAGGGCACCCAGCGACCCAGGTGATCTCCATAGAACCACTGGCTCTTGACACCTTTGTAAAGATTTACTTATTTATCTGTTGGAAAGGCAGAGTGACGAGAGAGAGAGAGAGGTTTTTTCATCCACTGGTTCACTCCCCAAATGATGCGACAGCCAGGGTTGGGCCAGCTCCATCCGGGACTCCTACGTGGGGAGCACTTGGACCATCTTGTGCCTCCCCAGGCACATTAGCAGGATGTGGGGTCAGAAGTGGAGCGGCTGGGACTCGAACCTGCGCTCCCATATGGGATGCTGGTGTCGCAGGCAGAGGTTTAACCACCTGGGCCGTGACGCCGGCCCCTGGCTCTTGGTGCCTGAAGCAGGTTAAGCGGGCTGGGGGCTGCCCCCTTGGCCTTCGATGTTCAGTTTCTGGGGTCTTTCGCCTGGGGTTTGTCTTCCTCAAGCTGCGGAGCAGGATGCTGGGGTGGGGGAGGGGATGGCCGTCGTCTTTGCCGCGCAGAGCGGTCGTGTTGGAGACTTGCTCTCGGCTCGCGGGAACTGGCCCGGTGCCCCCTCAGCCACGCCCCATTTCCCACAGGCGCTGACTGTGTCTGGGGATTTGTTTTCCAACCAGGAGTCCTTCCTGGGTTCTGTCCCGTGTCCCACACTCCGCCTTTCCAGGAGGGACCAATCCACGGAAGGCGGGGCCATGTCTGGTGGTGGGGACACGTGCAGACAGGACCCTCTCCGACTGGGCCTTGGGAACCCTGCTCCCTACGTGTGATTGGCTGAGCCATTCCCTGGCTGTCGGTGCGGCGCCAAGCTGTGCAGGAGTCAGAAGGATGATGCTGGGTTCTGGGGTTGTTGATGGACTTGGGGGACAGAGGCGGTGATGAATTTGAGGACGCGATAGCTCATCTGTGTAGCTGCAGCAGGTTCCCTAATGTCTGGGGGGAGGGAAATTAACTCCAAGACTTCCCCCTTCTGTCCGCTCCCCCCGAGACGCCTCCCTCCACCCCTGTGCAGTGGCAACACGTTACCCATGTCGCAGACTGGTCTGAACCTCGCCATGCGAGGTGACAAGGTGTCGGCTTTGGGGGGGAGGGTAAATCCCAGCTCCACTGCTGAGGGTGACAGCAGCAAGGTGGCGTCTGGGGCCTCGGCTTGTCCCCCCTCACTGAACACCTCTTCTGATGGGTGTTTGCCTCATTTAATGAGCTAACAAGTCAGGGTGCCCAGCACTGAGCCCGGCACAAAGCAGGTGACAGGTCAGCTCTCCTGTCCTCCAGTATAACTCATACAGGAGACTCGGTACCTACATATAAAAAGGGGGTCCAGTGGGAGCGGCTGGCTACATCCGCAGGCCACATCACCCAGCGACCTGCTTTTGTCAATAAAGTTTTATTGGCACACAGCCATGCTTTTGTGCCGTCACACTAGTGGTTCTCCGAGACCATTTGCCCACAAGACTGTCTGAGCTTTACAGAGAAGCCCTGGTGCCAAACCCCGCCCAGGCTGCTCCTCTGCTGGGTCATCTGGGCTTGTTGCTGGTTGCCAGGGTGAGTCCATGGAGCCAAAGACCCTCTGTCTTTCTGTTCTTCCTTGACTGGCGGGAAAAAACCTTCAGGAAGTTCTTCCGCTCTGGGCCTCGCTTTTCTTCTCCCCGGAATACGACTCAGCCCCTCCCTGCTTCCTGGTACCTTCCCTCCGTACCTTCCTGGAACGGAGCAAGGGCGCCTGAGGGTTGAATGCGCCCAGCTGGTAAAGCCCTTAGCTTGGGTGCTGAGAGGGTGCCTGGGAGACGTCGGCAGCTCTGTGCAGGCTCCCAGTGGCCATGCACCAGGCTTCTTGAGGTCCGCGTGATGGGCTGGTGCCCCAGGCCACGCCCACTCTCACTGGTATCCCAGGAGAGCAAAGCCCTGCCCATCCAACACAGCCTGCAGGCCAATGTGTTCTCCCACCGGCACCTACTTGGTCTCTGAGTCATGAGTTCAAGAACTGGCCAAGCTAATCTTCCAGGAATCAGACACAACAGGATCTCGGGGTGCGAGGGCCCACACGGGAGAACGCAGCCCACGCCTGGCTTCCTAGTACGGAGCAAGTGCCGGGGCAGCCTTCGAGAGCTCGGTCCCTGTCGGACAAGGCCCTGGTCCTCACTGGCCAGGCCAGAACCAGCTGTCCGGGGCACCTTGCACCTGGCTGCTGCCCAGCCCAGCCTGTCTCACTGCTGGTTGTCCCCAAAGCAGGACTTTTGTCCCTGAGAGAGGCAAGAGTGCAGATTAGGGGCCACAGGCCTGCAGAGTGGGGTTTGGGAGTGAGATTACAGGGGGAAGGGGGAGGGGCAAGGACAAACCGCCCTGTGGCTGTGAGCAGGCGGATGGAGGGGGAGACTTCGGACCTTGCACTTAGAAGGCTTCAGAGTTGAGGGCTGTGTTTGATTTGCTGGAAAGTCCTGGGTGAGACCCTTACCCCTGCCTGGTCCAGGGTCTCCCTGACCCTAAAAGCAAGAGGCCGGGGTGAGCTATGGGGGTTTCCAGAGGCCGGCAGCACGTGATGGACTGGGGACCCTCGAGAGCTTCCCATCCGAGGTGCGAGGACAGATGCAAGGTCGGGCGGGGGAGGAGGAGACCCGGGGAGGCGAGCAGCTGCCGGGGGAGGGGCCTGTGTGCTCCTCTGGGCGGGGGTACCCCTGGGAAGGTGCAGCCAGGGCACAAGGTCCTGCCTGTGTCACAGAGTCCCAGCCGACCCCTGGCGCGTTCCCTCCTCTTTCTGGCAGGCAGGCACGTTTCTGTGGTCTCAGGAACAGGAGGTGTTGGGGGGGTGACCTTGGCCTTGGCCACTGACTAGGCCTGCAAGGTTGAAATTTCCCCCACCCTGTGGCCTCTCTGACAGTGGGGGTTCCTCGTTAGGAGCACAGGGCACGCAGTCTGCATGCTGGCCCCTCACCCAGGATTGCAGGTGGCCGACTGTGTCACGGGATAGCTTTGGCCCTTGAAACTTGAGGGTGATTCTGCTCTTGTAAGAGCCGGAGCCAGGAAGGGACGCCCTCCCTTCTGGGGATGTGAAGTGGGGTTCTCAGAGCACCTGGCGAGCCCTGACTGTGGCTTGCAGCTGCCCGTGGGGAAGCCGTGCCCCCTGCAGCGGGGCGACCCCAGTCCCTTGTCTCGGACCAGCCTGGGAAGTGGAGGCCGCCGAGCCTCAGGGGCCCGTGGAGAGACTGCCCACAGATCAGCACTCCCCTAGCTCCGCGCCCTGCAAATATTTACTCAGTGCACTGTGTGTCAGAGACGAAGATCCCCGCCCTCGCAGGGCTCAAGCACAGACGGTAAACACCACCGCCGAGCCGTCCACACAGGGCGTGGAGCGCCAGAGCCAACAGGACAGCTCAACTTCCGGGAGCCTGGTGACGTCCAGACCCTGTCCTGAGCATTTTGTGCCCCATGTAGAGGCTACAGCCAGGATCCAGAGCCTGGGATCCTAACACTGCCCTTGCCCTCTGGTTAGGAGGAGTCACAGTCCGCGTGTCTGACCTTTCACCGCGGTGGAGGGAGGGGCTCATTCAGTCCTTGCCGCGGGGGAGAAAGGGGCAGGTGGGCAGAGCTGAGTCACAGGCAGAAGCTGGGTCTCCTCGTAATCCCTGCAGCCCCCACACCGCAGCCTTCTGGGATCGGGGACCACGCCCGCAGTCCACGCCCGCAATCCACGAGTGACCCCAGCGTGCACACTGGTTCCTCTGCAGAGGTGCAGGGCAGAGGCGTGTCCCAGGGTGGGACTCAGGCCCCCGCCCCCGCCCCCTCCGCCGCCTCAGTGCTTGGAAAATGGCTCTTGGAGAGCAGCTCAAGCCAGCTTAGGACAAAAGACGCACTTTGTCATGTGAATGTTTTAAGTCAGGAGCCAGGAGAGGCAGAGTTACAGAGAGAGAAGGAGAGGCAAAGAGAGAGAGAGAGAGAGGTCTTCCATCCGCTGGTTCACTCCCCAAATGGCTGCAACAGCCCAGAGCTGGGCAGATCTGAAGCCAGGAGCCAGGAGCTTCTTCTGGGTCTCCCACGTGGGTGCAGGGGCCCAAGCACTTGGGCCATCTTCTACTGCTTTCCCAGGCCACAGCAGAGAGCTGGATCGGAAGAGGAGCAGCCTGGACAAGAACCGGCGCCCATTTGGGATGCTGGCGCCGCAGGCAGAGGCTTAGCCCACTGAACCACGATGCTGGCCCCTTTTAGAACGGAGGCCTAGAGAGGGCCCAGTTTCCCGACATTTTTCTGGATTCACACTGCGGGTCAGAGGTCCCCAGGGCTCCGGGTCCCCCACACCCTGGGTTCCCGGGCTGCGTGGTGCTAGGGGAATTCCCCGTCTTCCCACGGCCATCGCGTGCTCCTCGTCGTCCCTCACCCACAGCGTCTCCTTCCTCTCCGGCATCAAAGTGCGGGCCCCTAGGGGAGGACGCCCATGCGTATACCCCTCCCGGCGCATGCGCACTGAAGGGAGGGAAGCAGCAGCTCAGTGGGCAGCTCAGACCCATGAACAAGCCTTTCCTGTCTGCTTCCCCACCCCCGCTCTCCTGTGCCGTGGAGTGGGTGCCGGCCGGGGCTGGCACCCACAGGGCCTCAGGTTGCGCCCCTTTCACTCACTGGATCTCGACAGCCATCTCATGATCCTTGCTGTACGGATCAGGGAACTGCCCTGTCCAGGGTCATCTGCCCGTCAGACCGATAGGTGCCATGGGCCAGGCTCCATGGAAGGTTCTAGAAAGGGGCAGCGCTGGGGTGGGAACGGTGCAGCCCCCAAGGCCACCCTGCCATTGGGTTGGTTCAGTGGCCCGCACAGGGCAGGTGAGGACCGAGGCCACGGGCAGGAACGGCGAGGCTGGGTTCAGAGCCTGTTTCCGCGCGCACCAAACTCCCCCCGTGTCTGAGACCAGAATGGAGAAAGTGCAAAGCTTTACTGAGTGTCTTCATGAGTGGGG